GTATAATTGATGCCAGGGCCCGGTACTGTGCCACGGCCCAGCGGTTGAGAAACGCCGCTTTAAAAGGATTAGTGAAGGCACTTAGAAGCATATCAACTTATTCAGAATGATCGAAAACTTTGTACAAAAGAATATCCATTACTGCCTTCAGTCCGATGGTCCTATGTCAAACTCTAGTGACAAACCGAATTGTAGACAGTGACCTAGGGCAAAATATTGACCAACAATAGGTACAACAGATGTGAGAATTCGAGCGCAGTAATAAGCATAAGAGTGGTATATCTCATGAATCATTACAAGACTGCACGAGGATCTAGTTCTGGTTTGTTCCAAGAAGTAGGAAAAAACGACAAACGCTACCTAGCAACTGACGGATGAGGCTCAACAAAGCATAGGAGGCCTCCTCCTGCAAACCGCTCACGGACATAACATGGCATCTCATTCAAGACTTCTTTACCCTTGGAAGGGCCGACCGGTTGTTGGCTGTGGAAGTACTAGCTAGGCAGAAAAAAAAACCAGTTCCACAACAATTTAATTTGGCACCCTAATTCGGCCCCATTTTAATCACAGTTCTAAACCATAACTCATAGCACCAGTACTCAGTCGCAAGATCATCAAAACAAGATCACTTTTTGAAGAAAGCAGTCTTCTGGGATTTGGCACCGTGTATATGTGGTGTTAACCGACGTTTCGGAGGAACGTATCGCCTCCATCTTCAGGGTAGAAAGAAAAATATAAGAAAATCCGCAAGCGAAGAGACTGCTTTTACCGGTTCTCACGGTCTCTTCGCTTGCGGATTTCTTATATTTTTCTTTCTACTCTGAAGATGGAGGCGACACGTTCCTCCGAAACGTCGGTTAACACCATATATATACACACGGTGCCAAATCCCAGAAGACTGCTTTCTTCATAGTCACCGCCGTGAAAGCCTCAAACCTTACAAGATCACTTTTTCTTTGTAAATGGAACCCTTGTTGTTGGTTATACATTCAGCTCTTATACTCTGACGATGGAGGCAGCAGTTTCATTCGAAACGCTGGCGACTTCCTACTACACTAAACACCATCATATCCAACACCTAGGTGAGTACATCAAATCTCACACCCTTGCAAACATCCCTTCATAAATACATTCTAGTGCAACACCCTCCGAACATTCATCAGGAGGTCTCATTTGTACACAAGCTTCCACAGCTTTCTCCCGTATTACTTTCCCGTCCTACATGTTATCGAACGATACGTTGAGGCCGACGTTTAACGCCATCTCCCACGAGTAACACGCACAAATAATAATCGTAAACAATCTGCTTTATATAGTACACTACGTCACATATCAATGCTCACAGAATAGACATAATGCACTGAAAACACTCGGCATTAGATGGATGAGTGATCAGCTTCATTCCCGGGCCGTCTTACCCCCTGGGAAATAACCTCGGTACACAGGAGGCTGGGTGGGCCCCAGAACCAGTCTGGACGTTATGGAGACAAACAATTATGTCCTCCCAGGAATCCAATCCCAGTTCCTCGATTGTCCAGCCCCGCAGCCTTGTCGTTATACCGACTGATGTATCCAGGCTCCCTTAGTTAATGATTGTTTCCCTCTATGGCTCTAAAGCCCTTTGGATCTTGGCCGCTTTTTCAGTTTAATCCAATACAGTCGACAGGACTCCTTGGACGGGGGATCAGCCCGTCGCAAGACCACTACCTATACACAGAATAAACGCACACAGACATCCATGCCTCGAAGGTTTCATGTCTTAGACCGAGCGGCTACTGTGATCGGCAGAGCAGCGGAACAGGGATAAACCATATACGTGTATAAAATAAATCACGCAATAAGCATGAAGCAAGTATTGGTGACATTTTTGCTAAGTTGGCAAACTGTTTTGCATTTACGTGATGCTCTATGTAGGAGAAGAACACATGCAAATTACACAGTGTGCGCTAAGAGGCCTACTGACATCACACTGCTATAAATACCCTCAGGAGATGACTTCAGTTAAGTTACGACTTGCTTGTCTCTCGGATAAAGATGCTTCTCAAAAAATGTGAATGAACTGAAAATGGACATTTGTGAAGGTAAACCTGTTCAAGTCCTTAATTATGCACCGCACCATAACGACGTATGTAGGAGCAGCGGTATAATTCCACATATTCTTATCCGTGGCACTGGATAGAGGAGAGTGGTCAGCTTCACGTTCCGGCATATTTACGCCCGGTACGCATTAGATAGGTGGCTTGGTGAATTCCATAGCCCGTCTGGACCCTTGGATTCAAGTGGCTCTGAATACGATGGAATGAATGCATTTGATAACATGTTGATGAACCTTACATGAAAACAGTAAATGTATTTACTTCCTGAGCAATTGTCAACTTAGAGTTAATGAATATAATACTGCTGCTGCTGCTACTACCATCACCAACAATAAATAATAATAATAATAATAATAATAATAATAATTCAATTCAATTTGTGTTTATTTACGTGCAAACTTAACAGCACAGCGGCCAATTACAAAGTTAGCACTAGTACACAGAAATACACAAAAATTAAAAATAATAGTGTAAAAAATGTATCCCTGTAACAAGCCGTGGAGGCCCATAGGGTTGAGAGACGTCGAGGCTCCCACATTTTGTACACAATCGGCTCACAGATGGCGGTGAGGTTGTCAGCCTTACCTCCGGCCGCCCTTTATCCCCCAATAAGATTCCTGGTACTCATTTCTGTTAGAGGCTGAGCCGACTCTAGGGCCATAGTGCGGCTGGAGGGATTAGGTCAATTGCAAAATCCAGTGAGCTCATCGGGAATCGAAACCGCGACCTTCCGGCTTATAGCATAGCGCCTCAACCAACTACGCTACCGCGTGCCCGAAATAAATAAATAATAAAAAAGTAAAGGTATCCCCGTAACAAACTGTGAAGGCCCACAGGGTTGTCAGATGTTGAGGTTCCCACATTTTCTAGACAATCGGCTCATAGATGGCGGCAAGGTTGTCAGCCTTACGCGCCGGCCGCCTTTTACCCCCAAGAAGATTCCTGGTACTCATTTCTGTTAGAGGCTGGGTCGACCCCAGAGACATAGTGCGGCTGGAAGGATTAGGTCAACTGAAAAAATCCAATGACCTCATCGGGACTTGAACCCGCGACCTTCCGGCTTGTAGCATAGTGACTCAACCATCTACGCTACCGCGTAATAATAATAATAATAATAATAATAATAATAATCTATGGGTCTACAGTCCTTTGTTGGTTTTGGCCGCTTTTTCAGTTTCTTGATCTTTTATAAATAATAATAATAATAATAATAATATAGTTGACCTGTATTTTATCTTGCATTCTCTTCGTTTACAAAATACTGGAGTTAAGAAGCATTCGATAAACTGAATTCTTTACCTATTGTATTTCTTGGAATACATAAACAAATAAAACTGGTGCATTCTGGCGAACTACTTAACCACAGGCACTATTTCTGGTGACAGCTCCGAAATACAGACTGAATTTGAAATTTAAAAAATACTTCGTAATGGTTTTAAAAATTAAACCGACGAAGGCCAGAAACGTATACACGGGCTAATTTTTTGGTCCGCCTTCCGTACCTGAATCCAATCACAGGGGCCGTTCTCTGAGTATCGTTTAATGTCTTTCACGCAAATCTTTATAGGCAGCCCACTAGGCGTGTTAATAAAGTTTTATTTTTATTGACTAACAAAATCGATCATGAAGTCAAGCCTATCTTTATAGTTTTAAATAAGTTTAAATCAATAAATACGTACTATCCCTTTACGTAGGAAACCTATCAAATGTTCGGAAGACGTGCGTAAGTTTGCAATGCAACCAAATATGCATTAAGAGTTCACGCAGTGGACAGACATAAGACAGACATAAACATTTTTCCAGCATCTAATTACGAAAAGTTCAGTGGTCAAAACCTTTGAACGATCTATAAAAGAAAAATGTAATGTCACAACGCTAACTTTATCTAAAAGACCTCGACAATCACGCAATGCTAGCCTTTAAGTATTAAAACCAAAGCACACTCGTACATCTAATATATTAACGTCAATTACAATTTCTATGTTCCTATGGTTGGATATTCATTTGAAATCGGAAGCTAATTATTTCCCCGGACGTTTTGATGTATTACTAATAATTAGTGTAGCATACTTGCGCATCTCAGCGAAAATGTTAAGTTAACGAGAAGAATCATGATAAATTGTATATGAAGTCACGGCTTACTACAGACATAAGCTGATCTGGAAATGCGCTTATCTTAAGGGAAACCAATGACATATTTACAACAGAATCCGGAAACTTATTCGGAGACGCAAAATTAATCTCAACTTCGTGTGAACCAATACAACACAAACGAACATTTTCCAAACATCTGATTACCGTATAAATGTAAAATTTATTCGATCAAAATACTGCATACTTTGATCTATGTATGAAAACTAATGTGTACTACACAATCATTCAATTCATTTACATAAGCCGAGTGTCACGTACAAAAACGCACGCACAGATGTGGAAGACAGTGACGTGAGTGGTATAAATTCATACTGCACAGTTAGAGGTCACATAAATGTTGTTAAAATGAGGTAAATATTTTACCATTAAAATTATAAAGGCAATTTCTTGGTTTAACACGAATATTTCAGATTTACAATACAAATTGCGCAATATGATATAAACTAAAAAAAAAAAAGTTTCTCGGACACGAACGAGAAATATCGTAAACTGATGTGAACCTGATATAGTGCATTTGCGATTCGTGGTTTTACTACAAACAACGTAAACGTCGTTTTTAAATTTAATTTGTACAGATGGATATCAATTTGTTTACGTAAATAACAGCGGTTTTAACACTATTTGTGAAACTGGAAAGTAATACAGATATTTCTAAAATACGGACAGTATGAGAAATCTGAAGTTCCTCACAGGGGGTATGAAGATCACTCACTATCTCCTGGGACGTGACACTGTGTAGCAGATATATACCTATGTTTCGGAAGACACTGCTGCATTGATCTTTGTGGTACACATGAAGATGGAGGCAGCAGGTTGCTCCGAAGCGTTCGTACTCCTCAACAATGACGCCAGTCAACAGGTTTTCTGCAATGTTGATAACGATTCACAAAACTACACGGCGTCACATTCCAGAAGACGTTTATTTTGACGTAAAATTGAGTTTCAAAATGGCCACATTATTGTTAACAGGAGCAATATCATATTTAAATGTGTGTATTGAATTTTTGGATAACGCAAGATGTAACCTTCAGTACTGTTCGTCAGAGTAATACAATAAGGTGTCATGGAAATATTCTTTATGGACTGATGTGTTAAAAAAAAACATACAACTTACCAGTTTCAATGACTGGAAGAAAGGGCAGTAATCCAATTTAAAACGAGTGATATGTCCAAAAGCAACAGTCCGGTCACGTCACGTCATTCAACAGCTACCAACATTTCTTCAACACTTCTCGTTCGCTTAATGACTTTTTTTTTTCAGCACTGGTGCTGCCGACTTTCCTTTTTAGTGTCTTCACTCCAACGGTTCTGCCAATATGCACACCTGGAATTTCTATATTTCTCTTCTCTTCTTGTTCAAAACTGTATTACTAATACTGGCCCTCCTTCCAGACCTTTCGTCCTTTTTTAATATTAAAATATTCTCAAGACAGCGTAGTGTTTTGTTTTGTCGTTACACTATTCTCCGCTAAACGGATATTACGTATACCTTTCCTGAGCAGCATTGTTGTTGTGTGTATTGTTGCTGTTTTTTCTTCGACCCCTTTTTTTAGGCGGGGGGGTAGGTGAATTCTATGTTTCTTCGCCTTATCAGTATAACACGCAATCAGACACTCGCACACTCACAGTGTGAGATATATATACATATATAGACGTTTGCACGGCTTCTGAACAAACCTGCGCTCCGGTTTGTAGATTTGAAACTACTTGCAGCGCGTTTTAGCGATAACTGGCGACGTGTACCCATGACTCAGCGCGCCAGCCGACCCGCCGGACGGGTGGGGAAATGGAATCACTTCGTTCAGCGGGGGAGTGGAGGGACAGTGAAGTAACTTCCTCATTCTGGTCTATTCACGACATCAGGTCGTCAGGCGTGTTTTATGCTGTGGATGACCAATTCTGCCATTCATAATAACCAGGCGACTTTTAACCCGTTAGTACTCACGGTGGAAACATCTGACTCTGTAAAGCACAGTGCTACATATACCCGCCTTCATTAAGTGTATCTTCATGTTCAGATTGTGCGATGATATTGGATGTGTCATCCGGTACTATTGTAGCTGGACACCGTTTCGGAGGAACATGATGCCTCCTTTTTCAGGATTGAATTTTGCAGGGTTATAGGACCTACAGGCAGGTTACCACGAAGATCGTTACTCAGATCCGGGGAAGGAGACGAGGAATAATAGGAACACTGAACAGGAAAACGGTCCTGAAGATGCAGACTAAATATTCATTCGAAATGTTGATATCCATCTCCAAGAGTACACGGTATCATAACCTAATACACTTCTGACCAATCGCCGCCTTGAAAAACTCAGGACTTCATAACCCTGTATTTTGCCCGTACAGTGTATTTTCAGAATAAACAGAAAATATTTCCCTAAAGCATTAATCGAGTATATAATGGAACCGCAATGTGCTTTCTGTGAGGTAGGACCTAAAATTTTAAACAGAGTATGCCCGTAAAATATATTCGGTATTTTTAAGTATTACATTGTAGCAAATTTTTTGCGTAATTAAATTAGATTAAAACGTGAACCTCTCAGAAATACTGTACTTTGGCATGTGATGCCGTATAGACTGGTAGATGTTTATCGACGATTCGGAGAATCATATTGCCTCCATCTTCAGGATCGAAGAATAAGCCAACTAACCAGAGCCATGAAGAAAGTCGTCTTCTGGGTTTAGGCACCGTGTTCACTTTCTCCTTAGATGCAGAGACCATGGCATCATACCTCGTTTCCTTCAGTTCCAACACCACATAACCTCTGACGCTGCCAAAAGGATCTACAGACGCACCAGCTTTTCTGTGCTAAAAGGCCAAAACGAAGAATACACGGTGCCTAAACCCAGAAGACGACTTTCTTCATTGTCATCGCCGTGAAAACCTCAAAACTTACATAACCAGAGCCAGTTTACGACTGACAGTCCATCCGTCTTATGTCGAGCCCCATCGGGAGTTTATGACCATATTTTAGTTTTAATCAAGACTTACTGTTTTATTATTGTTGGGACGTCCTCTCTGACGACAGGGCGGACATGTCAGTTGTCAAGAGNTATATATATATATATATATATATATATATATATATATATGTTGATAATATTTATAATTTTACATGTATACATTATACATAACCCCGAAGGTAAAGCAGCCGGAGCGTAATGCTGACCACTCACCTCAATCTAGTACCGAGGTAAGAAATGGTGGAAGTATACCGTCGCTCCCCCATACGTCTTCATGGCAAGGCACAGCTTTACCTTTACCTTATATGTAATGTCCTTTGCCTCGGTGCGGGGAAGTGCTAAGGGTAGAGGAGCGCCGAGTTAATCAATACGAGCAAGGAGGCCCTTAAACTGGCCAATTTTTGTTGGAAAAGGCGCCTTCTCCCATATATTTCTACGACGAAAAGGGCCCTGTTTTAGGGCCACTGTTTTATTCTCTTCTTTGGCTCTACACGGTTAGAGCCTATACAGTATATCAGGAGGGCCTCAGTTAGATTCGGTCTGGCCCTGTCACTACGGTAAGGGCCCTAACGAGATAAGGGGCGCACAGGAAACCCAGAGAGTGGTCTGACTGACTGGGGCGACGAATTTCCCCTCACCTCCGAACATGTTAGAACCATACCCGTACTCCTCCCTTTGCCCCTCCTGGTTCTCTGTGTGCTCCTCCCCCAGCATATCCGCACAACCCGTTTTCCACGATCGACTTATTCTGCATGCTTGTTTGCTTCCCTGTATTCAAACCTGAATATGGAGGCAGTTTATTCCTCCGAAACGTCGGTAAACTTGTACTAAATTGTGGCGCTCTCCAGTCAACGCCGTGGGAACCTCAGCTTCTACACGGTGATCTTTAATAATCTGTGCAATTTAAACGTATATGAGCAGTGAGTTACCATGGAAACAAGCAAATATCGTTTTTCACAGCGCACGGTAGATGCGGCCCTAGCTCCTGCCACCATTCGCTGTGTCACCAGATTACTGTTGGTTGCGCTGTTCTCAGGAATGCACCAGACCTGCATTTAGTAAGGGGCCTTCATGCGTTGGCTAACTCTGACATTCTTTGTTTCTTATTTTCTCTGTTTACTTCTTTCTCCCTTTTGTTCGATCTCTATCACGTCGCCACTTATTTTCGGCTCCCTTTTATTCTTTTCTTACATCATTTCTATCTGCCTTTCATTTATTTCTCCCCTCATTATTTCCGTTTTCCTACATTTAGTGTACTTTCTTTTTGGCCCCAGTTACAGTAAAGGTAAGGTTCTCTGTGCTTAATTAATAACCAGGACGAGAAGACGTATTTTTTTTTCCTTGGCACTACAGCCCCAGTGTGCCTAGGCCTACCTCCATGAACTTCTCCGTTCACTTCGGTTTTTCTAGATCTTACACATTCGGTAGGACTCCTTGGGCGGGTGATCAGCTTGTCGCAAGGCCTCAACCTGCACACAAACACAGAAAAACGCACACACACACAAACTAAACATCCATGCCCTGAGTGGGATTCGAACCCACGATCCCGGTTTCCAAGCGAGCGAAGACAGTACATGCCCGAGAAGACGTATTACGGGTTGGAAATACAGCCGTATGCATTCTTTCTTTCCTTACGTACTCTCATTTTTCCTATATTTACCCTACTTTCTCCTTTTGTTTCCTCCTTAGAGTAAAGTTAAGGTTTTTCCTATACTTAATAAAGCATCACGCCATGAAGACGCATACGGAAGTGGAGGTGTAGCTCCAAGCGATCTTTCTTTCCTTTTTCCTTTTCCTGCATTTACCGTCGTCGTCTTTTCGCGCCTTAAGGTGAAGTAAGGTTCTCCATGTTCTCAGCCTCGGCAGTAGGAGGCGACTGGCAGCTTCACACCCCGGTACCACTGGTACTCGTTGGGTAAGAAGCTGGGTGGGTCCCAGAACCGGTCTGGACGCTGTAGAGAAGAAACAATTCTTTTACCTTTCCCAGGAAAAGAACCCTGATCCCTCGATCATCCAGTCCCATAGCTTACTCACTACATGGAAACAGCTGTCCCGATTGTTCCTGCATTTGCTCTGTTCTTTATTTCGTAGTCCATCTGTTCTCTTTGTTATTCCTCCGATATTTTTTTTTTATTTTGTACCTTTTCCCCCTAATTTCCTTATCCTCTTTGTCTTCCGTGTTCCATATATTCTCGGTTCTCTTTAGCTGGCTTTTTATCCTGTCCCACATTGAGTCATGCTGACGCACTTCTGCGACTTCATGCGACCGACCCACTTGTCATGTCTGCCCCAGTCAGCGCACTGATAACATTCGACTTCCTGCTGTTGCGTAATTATTACTGAGGTCTCATTAACTCAACAAGTCCCGGGTTTTAACCTCGGCCGCTGTATGTGCTACCCTGATCAAGGCTGTCACAGCGGTGATTACGAAGGGTGCCGTCGTCTGGGACGCAACGCTGTACCAACGCGGTAGTTTGCCGACGTTTCGTAGGAGCATGATCAAGGTGAAATATGCCAAGCAAGAAACTAGCAAGAAGCAGGTGACGAGCAGACCACAGATTCCTGTTTTAATATTTTCAGTTTACCGTTGATTTCAACGAGTCGTTATTTAGTGACACCGATTCTTGCGTCGCTTACTCTTCGACCCTGAAGATGGCGGTAGTACGTTTCTCCGAAACGTTGATACATTTCTCCATCACAAAATATAGTGCACTTCAACGTGTTTAATATTTTTCCTAGTATACTGAAATAGGCCACATCTACTTCCGCTCACATTTCTCCACGTATAACAATTTCTGCGCATTCGACGCTAATTTGGTGTTCTTCTTTGTTACCAAAACGAGTCTTGGCCTCCTTTTCTGTAAAAATTTTGTGAATACCGTTCAGACTAACGATTAGACTCCGTGGATGAAGGATCAGCCTATCACAAGGTAACGCAAGAAAAAGCAGACATCCCGAATATGACTAAAACAGGAACAGGGTTTGAGATTTGAGGTGCTCCCAGAAAATTGCTGTCTTCTGGGATGTGACTCCATGTGATATGTTACAATTTCAGGGTAGATGGAAGTAGCAGGTACCTCCAAAACGTTCTGTCTACCAGGCTGCACAGCGTCACAACCCAAAAGACATTACTCTGCATGACGTGGATCCCTGATTCTGACACCATGCAGGCTAGCAAATGGTTACTAATGTTTCAAAGTGTCATACAGGCTCCATCTTCGAGGTAGAAGTTTAACTGACTACTGAGACTAAATGTTATGGTGCTGAGATTCATATATGCCGAACGCGGAGACGGTGTGTTCCTCCGGAACGCTGAGAACGATCTACTAGACTGCACGGCGTCACATTGCAGAAGACAGTAACCCTCACCATTACTCTGTCGTAGCAGACTCAAGCACGTCATTGGACAATCTGGGAATCGGCGTGGAAACCATATTGTGTCCGTGTCAACTGGTCCGCTCTCCACACAGCCAGCCACGTCGAAGGCTGTCGCATTGAGAGGCGGGTTCACACCGGAATGTAGGCCAGTTTACACTGTGCGCTGCTGACTCACTTTGTGGTCACCACTTCTGTTGCGCACTCAGATATACAATCACATCAGTCTTTCTCTTTTCTGGCCGCCATGTTGATTACAAGGCTGCTTAGAGGCGCGACAAGGTCGTGCCGAACAACTCATCTGACACTTTTGTCACTCGCTGCAGATATTTCAGGGCCAGACCCGACGGAACATTATTCTACACTGTGTTGGGTTTCCT